ACTACATGCGTCAAAATCTACTATTTGACCAACAACATAATGTTTTTTATTTTCTCCTGTCATATTTCTACCCCCATAGATTGCTTTTTTAATATATTCTCTAACATTTCCTGTATACTCGAACAACATGTCTTTAGTAAAACAATTAATTTTAAAGAAGTTATAAGCTAATGAACTCAATGTTGTATAATCTGTACAGTCTAATTTCAAATTATTCTTTACCATTTCTCTATTTTAAAAATCCTTCTCTAAGTACCATAACATCTCTCAGACAGTAATATTCACAATATTTTTCTGTATTAAAATGATTATCATCAATTTTACAATGTGTTTTATTAATATTTTCTTTAAATTGATAAATCATATCTGAAGACCAATGAGGTACTTCTTTATTCCAACAATTATTTATTACCCCTATCTGCATAGTTTCTTCATTATAATAATTATATGGAAAGATTTCTTTTTCATAATCCCCTTCAAGTTTAAAGAATTGTTTAAATTTGGAGATACTTGTTGGGATTAACGCAAGTGTATCTTTAAAGACTATCTTCTTTCCATTTATTTCAATTGTCATTTTATATATCATCTTCCCCTTTTCAATTATATTATTAATTCCATATTTTGCCAAAAATCTTCCATCATATCCTAAGTTATGGAAGTAACATAAAGGAGATTTAATTGTTTGAATATATTCAATAAATTTTGATGCACAATTTATTCCATAAAACTTTTTCCATATTCCATTTACATCCATTACAATAATGCAAAATGGTTTATGATAATCACTATTTGTAAAGCATTCAAAATCAGCAAATAATATTGTGCTTTCTCCTTCTTTCTTTTTTGGTTCTTCAATTAGTTTTGATTCATCAAATACTAGATTAATATTTTCTGGTGTAAACAGAAAAGAATCATAATATTTTTTCTTTATCATATAATCTCTTGTTATTTCTTCAATTGCCCCTTGTTCTTTTAATAATTCTAAACATTTATTTATTGTAATAAATTTTGTTAATGAGTGTTTATATTCATTTTTCTCCTTTTTAACAACATTAAAATATTTCTCTAAATCTTTCCCTTTTTCATTACAATAATTTATTATTTCATCATAATGTTTTATAAAATATGATGTAATTGGGACTTTTTCATCAATCACATAATGAAAGTTATTCTTCCACCGTATTAAAAACAGATTTATTGTTCTTTCTCCATAATTAATATTATTTATAACACTCTTACTTTTGTTATAATATCGAAGAATAATATTTAATTTATATTCCTTTGCTATAATATCAATTGTTTTCTTTGTGATTGAATTTCCTTTTAGCTTTGTTTTAATTTGAGCTAATTCATTCTTTGTTAAAAGTCCACTTTCATGAAGGGAATTGATAAAACAATTTTCAACATTGGTAATTTCTTCTTTAAGATATATTTGATATCTTCTTAAAATGTTTTTCAATGGAGCCCAATGTTCTGTTAAGAAGTAATTAAACAATGCTCCTTCAATTCTTTCTCTTTGTGGAGGTTTAACTATTGATATGATGATTTCTTTTACTATTTTTCCTGGTGGAATATTTAATTCACTTTCTTCATCATCATATCTCCTCCAAAATTCTTCTATACCAACATTAAACCCCACACATCTATTAATGAATTCTTGTGGTTCGACATTTTCTAAATTAATAATAAATCGTCGTTGTCGACCACCAAATACAAACTCAACTAGGGGGATTAAGTCATGTTGTTTAATTAATTGACTTATTCTATAGGTTTCCCCTAGCATACCACCCCATACCTGCGCAGTATATTCTAGCCCAAAATCTCTTCTTCTAATAATACTGAATTCTATTTCTTCATCAGTATTATTTTCTCTTGCCAGACGGATTAGATGCAATTCATTTTCTGTAGGTTCTATTCTATCTAGAGTGAGGAAATCTAATGTAACATATTCCTCTTCATTGAGTATTTCCTCTAGAATAGCTTGAACCTCTGCATCAGATAATGTATCATCCGCTGGTTGGGCTATAATAGGTGGGGCATAAGGGGTTTCTTGAGAGGGGTCAGAGGGGGCATTTTGAGGAGGGACAAAAGAGGGGTCTAATTGGGGATCTTCTATTAAAGAAGTAGTACCAGCACTAGCTCCGCTAACTACTCTATTATCAGCAGTACCACCAATAATAGAAGTAGTTCCGTACTCTCCAATAGTGCGGGTATTTCTTCTTTTTCTTTCAAGAGAGGCAATAGCTTCTTCACGTCTTTGACGATATTTTTCTAAGTCAAGACGTCCAGTCTCCCTCTCTCGAAGAAAATCGTTAATTAAACGATTTTCACTGGCTTCTCTACGTTGTCGAACACGATCCCCGATCGTTTCGAAGCCAGAAGATCTATGAGAGTCAGTTTCTTTTCTTTCCAACTCTTCATAGTCTTTCTTTTGCATTGTAATTCGTCGTCTTTGGCGTCGACGACGATTTTCTTCATAATTATTAATTTTAATATTATTATTTCTGAATGACATTGATTGAATGGTTATTTATGATAAAAAATATATAAAAATTAAATTCAAAAACTTCAAAAATTGTAATACTTCATAAAATTGAAAATACAAAAAGTGTAATACTTCAAAATACGAAAAGAATACCTCAAAAGAATGTACCCAGATGTCAAAAAAAGATGAATTCCATATTCTAAATATAAATAAAAATATTGTTATATAAATCATAATCTATTTATATATAAAAGTGTTATATAAAACATAAAACATAGAAATGTTATATATCCCAAAAGGACCAAAATTTCCCACTACGTACTACATGATGCTATCACACTATCGTCAAATTGTACCATAAAAAAATTATTATAAAAAGAAAAAAATAAAATAAATTCTAATTTAAGAAAATTAAAAAAATAAAAATAAAAAAATTAATTATATTAAATTAAATAAAATAAAAATTAATAAAATAAAAAATAGTAAATCTTAATTTATCTATTTCATTTTACTCAGATGAGATTATATCATTCATTTTCTATTGATTAATTTAATAATTTGTTCATGATGTATTCTCTATATTCAATTCCATAATGTCAATAGTATTTTATTATGTCTTTTATGTTGATAATAATTATATCTTTTATCATTATTTCATATCAAATTAAATACAATATTCTTTTATCATTCTTAATGATTATATATTGATTAATCCATTTATTACTACTGGAATTACTTTTACTCCTTTTAGTTTGTTAATTTATCTTATTTTTTTATAAGAGTTCTATTCATTTCAATTTTTTTAGTAAATATCAGAATTACCATTTTATCAATACTATTGTTATATCATTTATTATTCATATTTGTTTTATTTTATATTCTATATTAAATATCTAGTCTTTTATGAAATATTCAATTTTATTAATTATTTCTTGATTTAATACTATGAACACTTCATTATTTTATATTCTTATTTTGATTCTACTTATTTCATTTTGATTAAATATTATTTTCATTTTATTCTATTTTATTTTATTCTCCATTTCTTCATCATTCATTATATTTTATTTTATATTTTAATTTATCACATTCAATTCATTTATTAAATCATGTTATCCATTTGTACAATGTTATTTAATAATATATGTTTAATTATTGATATTTTATCATTATAAATACTATATTATTTTAATTTATTATTTTATGTAATTAATACTTTCTTAATTAATCAAATGTACTATTTTCTTACATTAATTTTAATTAATTATAATCATTTCATTTTATATTAATATTCATCATTATTCTACTTGTTAATTTCATATCATTCATTTAATTTTCAAATTATTTTATTAAATGAATATTTGTATTATTTAATTTTAATTTATTAATATATATTTCATTATATTTATTATTTAAATATTTTATTATTTTATATGAGTTATTCTTATTTTATATAATTTGTTATACTTCATTATTTTCATTTTTATTAATTCTTTTATCATATGTTTTATAAAATCTCTTCTAAATTCATTTCTTATTCATTTTTATCATTTCTTATATTTCATTATTTCCATTCATAATAATTATTATTCTTATTAATTTTAATTCATATTCATCTCTTATTATTAATATATTTCTTATTTCTTCTTTATTAATATATAATCTTTACTTAATGAATTTAATATTTGTTTTTGTATCTTCTTTATAATATACAGATCAATTTTATCTAATTTAGTGATTGAATAATGAATCACAGATACAACAAATCTGAAAATATTGATAACTTCTATATTATTTGATTGATGTAATTTCTATTACTTTCATTCATTTTATTGATTATATCTATTATATCTATTATATCATTTTCTATTTTATTAATACATTTTACATCATCATTCTTCTTGTATTTGAATACACATGATGTTTATATGAAATTGAATTATCTATAATTATTATTTCAATGACATTATCATTGATTGTAATATTTCATTTTCTAATTATTCTACATTTTTTTTAATATTTACTTCAATCATTATTCATTTAATTACATCAATAATATTTTGATTGGCTACTTCCATTGCCTTATTCGAATCACACATAATTTTTAAATCAACCGTATAAAGTGTGAAATAATTTGATTGAATTAAGTTAAATATCATTTAATGTATCTGATATAATATTTTGATTGATAATGAATAACAATAGAGAGAATCTCCTTGTAATATCACACAAAATTTAATTTAACATAATTTAATATATTATTATATGTATATCCTATCTTAATATATTATCTGTTGAACACACATTCAATTTAATGGAATATTGCATTATTAATATTAAAATATTTTAATGAATATATTATTTATGA